TTATCTGTTTGATGGGACTCTCCCAGGAACTTCAGACAGGAATCGTGCGGGTCGCTCGTGGGCATAGGCTTAGCGCAGGAGGCGCACAGCTTGAAGCCGGGAGCGTTGGGCATGAGCCCGGCCCCGCGGCCAGGGGAGAAAAGGGGGAGACGACCCCCTTAATCCCCTGAACTATTATAACAACTAGACAACTTTTAAAACTATTGAACTATTTAACTATAAACACTAGGACTATAACTATAACTATAACTGCGAATAACGAACTAAGCTAGGGAGAGTGGAGAACAGCTAAGCAGCGCTACCACAGTTCCAACGACCGTCAGGGGCGTAAGAAGGAACTGAGGGGGCGCCGGGTCGGCTGGGGTATATATTCAGCGCCATGAAGGCGCCACTCTAGGGGGCTCCACAGCCGACCCGCCGGTGTTGCTAGGGTAAAAATCTTCCGACGATCGTGCACGCGGCGCGCACACACCTAATGGAATGGATATGAGCAAGCACTCGAAGAAGAACCTTAGGTCACTGTCTCCTGTTGGAAAGCAAATAGACTTGTTTGATTTTACACTGTCTTCAATTAAAGGGACCCTGTTTTATTCACTGTGCCATTGGTTGTCTATATAAAAGAACAACCGTACTAGCTCATTCATGGAAAAATACAATAATCCAGATCCTATAAATGGGATTTATTACCTAGGATAGTGGTGTTACTAAAAAGATATTTGACTTAAGAACAGTCTCATCCATTTCTCCTACCCAGTCTCCTGTCCATTACTCCCCATGTCTATTTAACTACTCTGTCCTCTCCTCATCTTTGCAAACAATCATCAAAACTCCCCCCCCAAACCCTTAACCCAATTGTGGAGTTCCAACGGAAATTTGCTAAGTTTCTGAGTCGTGTAGCCAATTCTTTTAGTTTATTGTTCATTTATTGTGTGATGTTATAATTAACTAACATGTTATGTTATATATAATCATTGTATGCTAAATAGAGTTAAGTTGTAGGATTATAGAAGTATAAAACTGATCAGTAGTTAGAAGGATAATCATGTATTAGGTATCTAATGAAAGTGAAAGTGAGTAGGGTTGAAACGCAAGGCCTGTAGGCTGTGGCCTGCAAGATTTTAGCTTAGCTATTTTAGGCCTTAGAGCTAAGAAATGCTGACATAAGTAAGTGACCAAAGAATAACCCAATGCCCTAAGATTACATGAAAAGATGATGTACCAATGCGTGATATTGCAAAAAATTAACAGTTAGAGTAAGATACCCTGTAATCACATTTTTCTAACACATGCCCATGCAGGGTGTACAATGTCCATAAATGTTAATGAGGTATAGTCAGAATTACATTATAAAAGGGGATGCCCAGAGCAGGAAAATTGAGCTCCCTATGGGAGACTCCAGCAAGAACCATCCCTCTACTGATGATCAATCCATCAGAGACCCATCAGACCCTAACACTGTTGTTAAGGATGTGAGTATAACTATATTTGCAACTTGTGCATAGGTTTGTATAGACTTTCGATATGCTTGGGTAATCATAACTTTAATTGTAACTTTAATAAAACTTGTAAAACAGATACCTTGTACTTGTGAATATATGTGTGGTCACTACCCTTGCTCTTTATGTGTTCTTACAGACTCTACATCTAAAGCAAGCAGCAGAGGTGACTTTTTCACTCTGTTAAGCTTGAAACTATAGTGACCAGAGCTGACCCCACAGTGGTGCAATACTATATTACAAAATTAACTTTAAATAAAAGGCTACAGTCATGTGGAGAAAATAACAAGTGAAGCAATCCAGTGCCAGTAAACTACTTCCCTTTGTGGGGAAGCACAGCCTAGAACTTAAAGCAAGTCTGCTTGGTGATTTCAATTTCAGTGGCAAAAGTTCGCTGGTGGGAACCTATTGTACAGTCTGGTGCCATCAACGTCTCCTCACAGTTAAAACCATTGGGAACTTTCTCCACATACAGGACAAGTGAGGCGTGAGAGTCCAGGTACGTCAGTTTTTTTAAACATGCTGACAGAAATCTCCTTTTCATTCCCATTTTCAATATCTGTGTTTTCAGTCCTGGGACTCTCATCCACATCTCCCAATGCATCTCAGTCCTGACTCCTTCCCACACTCCACCCTGCTATTCCAGTCCTGGGCTCTCTGCACAGCTCTCTGCTGGTGCTCCTCAATCCTTCCTGACCTACCTCTTCCTTGCTATTCCAGTCCTGGGCCCCCTACATACAGCCCTATCAATGCATCTCAGTCCTGACCTGCAGCCCCTTGCTATTCCAGCTCTGGGCCCTGCTTCTGTATCAGTGTGCCTTGGTCCCGATCTGCAGCACCACCTGCTTATTCCAACCTATTCCAGTCCCGGGCTTCTCCTGAGCAGGCACTGAAAGACATGCCACATTTTGCAGGAAATAGTTAATTTGCAGGAGGGGGACAAAAAGAAAATCAACTATGGACTCCGACAAGACCACGATATACATCTCTTGTATAGGTAGTCCAGCCTGAACCCAAATTTCCATAGGAAATCATGTGTCACGTATCGCTCTTCAAACAGCAGTGTTAACAACTCTCATTATATTTGGTGGGTTTTCTTTAAGGCTGCAGTTAAGCAACTACCTGAAAGGGGTTTCCAAAGAGGATGGAGCTCGGCTGTTCTCAGTGGTACCAGATGACAGAACAAGGAGCAATGGTCTCAAGTTGCAGTAGGGGAGGTCTAGGTTGGATATTAGGAAACACTGTTTCACTAGGAGGGTGGTGAAGCACTGGAATGGGTTACCTAGGGAGGTGGTGGAATCTCCTTCCTTAGAGGTTTTTAAGGCCAGGCTTGACAAAGCCCTGGCTGGGATGATTTAGTTGGGGTTGGTCCTGCTTTGAGTAGGGATTGGACTAGATGACCTCCTGAGGTCTCTTCCAACCCTAATCTTTTATGATTCTATGATTTCAGAAGCTCTTCCTATGGAATGTAAGTAATAACAATGAAAATAATAATAGATCACATTTATATTGAGCCTGTCAAAGATTACAAACCACTATGTAGACATTAAATAACCTTCAGAAGACTCCTGTGAGCGAGATAATGTATTGATTATATTATCTATTTAGAACGTAAACTCCTTGGGCAGGGACTGTCTCTTACTATATGTATGTACAGTGCCTAGCACAATGGAGTCTTGATCACCGCTGAAGCCTTTAGGTCCTGCCATAATACAGACAATAACTAATAGTAGCCTCCTTTGTAAGGTGCTTTGCAATCTACAGATTATAAGAGATGAGCAGGATTATTATGTTAACTTCATGTATTCCAATAATTTACCTTCAACAGACAGTCCATTGTTAACCCATCAGCTTCCCCCTTCTGTCCCATCTTTAACCAGATTTGGCTACAAGTGGCTGGAAATGTTTGCTAGAGCGGCCAAGCAGCTCACAAAAGAGCTGGACTCTGACGGGAGGTTCATTCCTATATCCAGCTTGGCTAGTGCCGATAGTTACAGACCCTTCTCTTTGGTCATGAAGGAACAGTCCAGGCTGCCTTGGCCACCCAGAAAATATCTCGCCACCTCCTACAAACTTACAGACGTATTCAAAGAAGGAACAGCTATGGATGCAGGTATGACTTGAATTCAGACGTAAAGGGCTGCCGAGTGATCACCAGTTATTTTGGGAAAGGGTCAACTAATCAGGGCTGCCCAGAGGATTCAGGGGGCCTGGGGCAAAGCAATTTCGGGGGCCCTTCCATAAAAAAAAGTTGCAATACTATATTCTCATGGGGGCCCCTGTGGGACCCCTGGCAAATTGCCCCACTTGCCCCCCCCCCCGGGCGGCCCTGCAACTAATAACTGTGCCCCTCTATAGCATCTTCCATTCAAAGATCCCAAGTGCTTTACAAACAGTCATTCATTAAGCCCTCGCAACCCTCCTTGGAGGTACACTAGGTAAGTATTTTTTATATTGTTTCCTCTGATGGGTAAACTAAGCCACAAGGAAACAAGCACAAGATCACATGGTGGGTTAATCTCACAGCCTGGATTAGAGCTCAGGAGATCCGAGCTCTTCAGTCTTATGACCTGACTGACCACTAGACCTCACAGGTCACTCACAAATCCCTGCCTGGATTTTGGTGCTCACCTGCAGTGTACACTGGGTCGACTCCAACTTCCTTGGGAGAGACTAGTTTCCTGCCATCTAAGAAAGCAGTGGTTTTGTTGGATATCCTGAGGGTTCGTGGAAAGCCACCAGTGAAAGCATGAGGTAAATCTTAAAGAAACAAGTACAAACAAGAGTTTCTGCAATAAATTAAACCTGATTAAGTTTGTTTCCCAAGAGGTGAAATATGATGCTCCGTTACGATACTCCGAGACCACAGACCAGAAAGTAGGAGTAAAGATCAGCCTTAAGTTACAGCCCATTCTCTGACTCTCAGATAACCGTGAGAAAAGCCTACATGGTTAAAAAAGGGCAGTGGTGAGTATGGATTTTTATTTTACCTCTTCTGGGAGTGACTTGCCTTTGCAGCCTTGAGATCTACTTCCCACAGCCAGGTACTGTTGCAATAATGGACTTGTAAACTGACTAATTGTGAGCTCAACGGTAAAAAGTGAGTGAAAGTTTATAAAATGTCACAATGACCTGTTGCAACAAATGTTGATGGGAAAGATACAAAAGGGAGACAGACAGACTGAATTATTACAAACAAAATGGCCTACTAATATAATTCAAGGAGTATGCAAATATTAAACCTGATAAATAAGGGAAGTGTGAGACCAGAAATCAATAAACCGAAATGGGTGTGTCAAAAATTAGGCCTAATTATGAATGAAATAATGAGGCTGAGGGGCTATTCCACCCACCACTCCCATTTTGGGGTCCTTAAAAGACTTTGGGGGAAAATCAAAAGATGTTTCACAACTGCTGTCTGGGAGACGGGTGGACAGAAGAAGTGAGCTTTATCATCATGGTTGTCACCTCCACCATCTCCTGGGAACCCAGGATCCACTGTGACATCTTTGGGACTTTATTGTCCTAATCTCAAGAGACGTCCCAACCAGACTGGGCCAGAGAGAGGGACCCAGATGATAAATCCCAACGCCACCTGGGATGTGAGACTTGGTTATCCTCCCTCCCCGGACCCTGGTGTTCTTTTCCCTCCCCATCTTATTTCTTTTCTTCTCTCTCTCTCTCTCTCTCTTTCTCTCTCCTTTTCCCTTCTGTCTATTAAGAGCCTGGCTTAGCCAGCCTAGACTGCATATTCTGCAACGCTGCAGTAAACCTGCGATCAAAGAGGTAGTTAAAACCAATGCCCCAAACAGGCCGAGGTTGGTATATGTTTGCCAGGTCTCGGAGTGGCTAATAAAATCATGTTCCACACCTGTGTTTCTTCAGCAGGAAGAGTGCAAATAAAAGTCAACACCAGAGGCAGAAGTTTCAAAGTAGCAGCCGTGTTAGTCTGTATCCGCAAAAAGAAGAACAGGAGTACTTGTGGCACCTTAGAGACTAACAAATTTATTAGAGCATAAGCTTTCGTGGACTACAGCCCACTATGCATCCGAAGAAGTGGGTCTCTAAGGTGCCACAAGTACTCCTGTTCTTCTTAGTGCGGATACAGACTAACACGG